TTCCTCCATTCGAAACAACGAAACAAGATAAAAAAATTGGAAGAACATGAGAAAAGTGATGCATAAATGTAGAAAGAACATGTGTCTATTTCAATTTAGAGACCATAATACCTAACAAAAATGATGACCACTAGGTCAGTTAGTGTTATTACGCGATATTAGTTTTATTCATAACTTAGAAAACAGGGGAAAAAATTGTTGCCGAAGTTTGCCTGAGGATATCAAGTAAGGATACTTCGACCTTGAAGGGCTCCTCCATTCGAAACAACGAAACAAGATAAAAAAAATTTGAAGAACATTAGAAAAGTGAGACATAAATGTAGAAAGAACAACATGTGGCTATTTCAATTTAGAGACCATAATACCTAATAAAAATGATGACCACCAGGTCAGTTAGTGTTATTACGCGATATTAGTTTGATTCATAACTTAGAAAACAGGGGAAAAATTTGTTGCCGCTGCTCTGTTTGTCGTTGCCGTCCCAATGAGGCAGGTGAAGGGAAGTAGTTGTTACAAAGAAGAATAAAGATAAAAAAAGAGTGAAAATGGAATGAATGACGAAGAAGAAAGAAAGAAAGAGAGTTAGAATCTTACATTGTATGAACAAGTTAGGTCTTCGAATGTGGGATGGAAATGAGTAAGTAACTCTAGATTTTAGAAACTAAGAGCGAATGGTTCTTCTCTGTGTCTTCTTTGCAGAAACTCTATCGTCTACTTCAAATGAATGCTTCTCTACAAAGTTCTCTTTAAATAAGGAAAATTCCGGTTTAAATAACCTCTGTTGTGTTCTTCGAAGTCCTTTGCAAGGGTTCTTTGTAATGTTCTCTGCAAGGTTCTCTTTGTAGAACTTTATGTCTTGTCCAACAGGAAGGAAAGTGGCAGCCTTGCTGTGGGAGAGAATTTTTCTTCTTTGTTTCCAATTGCTCCTTGTCTGTTGCAAGATTGGACTGGTTTAATTAAAGAACAGAAAGAACGCCGGTGATCGAAAGAACTGAAGGACCTTGGGTCGGTAGGAGGTTGTAACGAAAGTAAATATAGATGAGAGAAGAATAATTAGCCATGAGAGGAAATTTAACGATTAACGATTTGGGTAGTTGGGTTAGTTAAGTGGGTAAAAATGGGAAGAGAGAGAAAATTAAATGTTTTACCTTTAACCGTAAATGAGTGGTATTTTTGGGTTTCTCTATAAAGGGTTGAGAGTCAAGTGGGTACAAGGGGTATTCCGGGTATTTCCCAATACTACGAAATGATGGGGTGTGACGTGTGTGTGGGCTTGTGGAGTTGACGAAAATTTGTATTTGAAGGGTATAAAATTCCAAAGTTTTTAAATGAGTATAGTGCTTTTGGAGGTATTTTTTTGTGATCTTGCTTGGGCGGTAATCTTGTAAAAACATCAAAATGCATAATAAATTAGTAAATCGTCATTTAGTAATTTGTTATTGATCTTAGTTTCTTAGCTTTATATAATGGCTGGGAATAAGATAATAGTCTAGAAATATGTATTAATGCTTCTTTTATCATTTTACAAAATATCAATTCATATTTCTACATATTTCATAATATTTCCACAATGTCTCTAATTTTTACAATATTTCTCCTCGACATTTCCGACATATGTCCTATATCTTGGTTAGCGACATTTCCATCCACATTGACATTTTAATTCTTGGTACAGATGGCTAAAACAAGGTATTTTGAAATGAAATTTTGACTCCTCCAATTCAGGTCCATCTGGGATAGGAGTCATAAGAGATACGGAAGGGAATTTGGTAGCACTTTTTTCAGGTTCAGTGGGAATGGAGACTCTATAAGCGCAGAACTGTTTGTGGTCCTACAAGGTGTTAGATTGCAAAAGAGATGAAATTGGAAAACCTAGTGATTGATGGGGACTCTAAGGTGGTGGTGGGCTGGCTAAATGACCCAGATTCAGTGATATGGTGCTATCCAGACGAAATGAAGAAATTCAGATGGTTAACACAGCAGATGAGCTTGTTTATACAATGGGTGGGGAGGGAGGTTAATGCTATGGCTGATTCATTAGCTAAGCAAGGGGTAACTAGGGATCAGCATTTTTGGGCTCACTTGTAATTCTTGTGCTGTCTTTTCTTTATGAGTGAGGCTGCATCTTGTGCCTCCATCTAGGAAGCTTGTAACAGTTGCTTATCTTTACTGATTTAATGGAAATATAAAGAATTTTTACTTATCAAAAAAAGGAGAGGATTAAAAGTTTTTGATATACAGCAATTAAAAGAAGAAAGCCAGGTGGTTGACGAGAAATATGGAGATTTCATTCAATTGGGTTACACGTTGTGCCAATTGGGTTACCCCTTGTTTTAGCAAAACAAGGGGTGGAGAGAGAGAAGAGGTTTTATCTCTCATTGACTGGCTTTTTGTTCTCTTGTAATTCTTAAATCGTACACTTCTTTCTGATCCCTTAATGAATTGAAATGCTACAGTTATTGATAAAAAAAGGAAAAAAATCACTCGAGAGAAGAAGAAACAACACCCAAACAACAGAACAGACTATCTTAGAATGATAAGGGCCAAGAATATTAAATGATGTTTTAAAATACATGTGCTCAATTTATTAGGTAAACACCAATCACTAAAGCATCATCTTACAATTCGGTGGGAACATCATAATTAAACACAATACTCCTAGCAACTTCAAGGATATGTCTATGTTTCCTCTCAGCTACATCTCTCTACTAAGTGTTAGCACATATATTCTGATGTATAAGTCCATTTTCTGCTAAATATGAAGGCAGTGATGATTCAAAATCTTTCTTTTGAACAAAATACAATTAATAACTTTTGGTGATGATTTATCCCTATATAATTTATTCTTGTTACTTTAATTTGTGTTTTCAATTATAAATTTGAAAATTATTTTCTCAAATAAAAAATTTTCTAACAAACTTGTATCATATGTCAATCCTAATCCTACCTTTATATATGAGTGGTTTTGTACCATAAAAGAAGCGGTGAGGGAACACAATGATGTATGATATTAAGGTATAATGTAATGTATAGTAGCATAACTATACATATTTTCTTTTAGGACCTTTTGTGTATTTTCTGTTCAGTCCCTATTAAGAACCAATTTGTTATTGTAAATGGTTTTTAAACTTAGTATATTTATCACCTTTTAGGGTGGAGGTCTATTATTATTATTTTTTTTTGGTAAATGAATGGAAATTTATTAAGCATAGAAGTGTACAATCAGGCTAAGAGGAGGCATGAGATGTTACCTCTTAGAGCTGAGCACTGAGAAGAACCCCCCTCGAGGCCAGCCCAAACACGCCCACCAGAGCTTAAAGAACCCCCTATTTGGTAATGGTGTCCATTCATTCATCCTAATAAAATATCTTCTTAAAAGCAATTAAAACTATAAAATCAATTTTTTGTGTGAAAACTCAGAATTTAAGACCCTAACATGGGCTTGTTTGGGCTTGCCTCAAGGGGCGTGGCACAAAGGTGGCCCGTAGAATTTGGAATGTAATATGTCACATTAGCTACTTGATTTAATTGAGAAAAAAGAGATTATGGGTTTTATATGCTTGAAAATGTTTTATATGTTTGATTTCATTTTTAAATTCTCATTTGAATATGCTTTACATATTATGTTTATGTATTTTAATTTTAGATAATAGTTTTTTTAAAACATTTATTTTAAAATTTAAGTTTATATTTTTATTAATATTATGTTTTATAATTTTTTGATTTTTTTAATTTTTTTTGGCATTTTTTTGATTTTTGTGATGTTTTTTTTGATTTTTTTAGTTTTTTTTTTTTTTAAATTGTGCGCCTTGCCTAAAAAAGGCGTGCGCCTCGCCTTGCGCCAAAGTCGCAAAATGGCCCTTGCACCTTTTTTGCACCTTTTGCTTTTAAAACACTGATGCTTGGCTTCTCTTTCTTCTTTGGAATCAAGGCTAGAAAGGTAGCATTGACTCTACAGCTAAATCATTGAGTTATCCTTGAATTCTCTAAAAACCTCCAACAAGTCTTCTTTGATTACATTCCAACAATCTTGAAAGAAAGCCATAGAAAACCCATCCGGCCATGGTGCTTTGGATTTGCCCATTGAGAAAACAACTTGATTGATCTCCTCCTCAAAGTTCCTTTCAAACCAGCCTTTGCTCTCTTCAGGTAGTTTCTGCCATACCAAACCTTCTAGTTCTACTCTAGTGCCTAGGGGTCTCCTCAAAATAGATTTGAAGTGATCAACAAAACAATTGGCTATCTCCTCTTGGGAATCATAAACTAGCCCATTCGCTTCCAATTTAGTTACCGGATTTTTCCTTCTCCTTCCATTGGCTAGTTCGTGGAAGAATTTAGTGTTTCCATCACCTTCCTCGATCCATTTACATTTAGATTTTTGCCTCCAAGGGATTTCCTCTTGTAAGAGGACCTTTTTTAGATCCCTCTTCAGTTTCCATTGCCGCTCTCTTTCTTGAGAGTTCATGGTTCTTTGGGATTCCTTCACACCCAATTCCTCTATTTGGGTCATCAAGGAAGATTTCATTTATTCTATTCTCCCAATTTGACCCCTGTTCCATTCTTTCAAATTTGACTTTAAGTTTTTCAATTTTTTTGTGAAATCTTACTCTTACCCCTTTCCACTTGGGTGGAGGTCTATTATTTTGACACCTATTATTTTGATTTAGATTTATTTCGTGTTCCAGTGATCAAATGGGATCTTTAGGATGTTACTACTGTGTGTTGTGATAATGTGTTTGCATAGTTTTTAGTTATGTTTCTGTTAAATCCAAGCAATACTTTTGATATTCCGTGTTATTGTTTTCATGTATGCATTGTCTGTGTTGGCTATTGGTCCATTTACTGTCACCATGTGTTAGTTGATGGCTCGTTACTTGTTACATGTTTTTGTTGTCCTTTCCCTTTTCTGGATGTCTTTTGTTTGATGTTAGCTTATTGATTTTTTTTTATCCTCAAATGGAAAATCTCTGGTATTGCTCATTGATGATCTTTTATTGCAGGTGGTGTTTGACCATGACGGTGAGATGCATATAAATTGGTCATGTCCTTTTTCTGATTCGTTGTGTGATTGATAATTCTCTATTTTAGCCTGCTTCACTTGCTTGTACTTCATTATTTTCTTTGATCTCTGCCTATTGACTGAATTGATCTAAATATTGAAATCACTTTTTTTTTTAAACTATTTTTGGGTTAAATATATGGTCTCAGCAATGAGACTTGCATTTCTTATGTACTGGATGCTTTTGAATATTTTCTTTGGTGATTGTGGTACTCGTCTGCATAGCTGATGTTTGGTAATCCTGGTTTATCTTTGTGAGGTTCTTGAGGTGGTGCCATTTGTCAGGGACGTGTTAATTTTGGTTGAGGGTTGCAGTAGGATCTTGTTGGGGTTCTCAATGGATTCTTAATCCTTTTGTCTCAGAATTGGTAGGGGTGAGCATTATTCGGTTAAAATCGAATAACCGAACCAAAAATTTTAGTTTTGGTTTTTAGTTAATTCGGTTTGGTTAATTTGGTTTTTGGAAATTTTGGTTTTCAGTTTTGGCTTTCAGAATTAGAAATTTGGTTAACTGAAAAACCGAATTAACCAAAATTCATTATATAATATGTAATATGTATTATATAATATATAGTATATAACATAATATATAATATGTTATATGTTTATATGTTAATATATTATATGGTATATTATAATGAAATTCAGTTTCATAATATATAATATATATTATATGTTATAATATACAAAAGTCGAGCCAATGGCTTACACTGATCRTAGGTCCCATCCATGGGGATCAACCGAAGTGTATCCATGGCCCAATCATGGGCTGGTCTCAATAAACACTGTTTCCGCTGTGACGGGATTGCAAACAGAAAGAAAACTCCWTTCCCATAGCCCTCCAAACAAAGCAGAAAAATGCAGTGCGCGTGGGATTGGAGTTTTCTTGCTAGGCTAAGTTAGCACTCCAGCCTAGCTTTTAACCGAAAACTGAACCGAATATTTCAGTTTTTATTTTTTTATTTCGGTTTTTAAAATTTTGGTTTATTCGGTTATCAGTGTCATATCCTGCTGTTCATGTTCCCTATTTTTTTATAATAAAATTGCATTTAGTTATGGATTAAAAAATGTAACATACAATATGAAAAAGGGTTTGTTGGTGTAGTACTTCATCCCTTTTACCATTAAGGCCCTAAGTATTGATATTTCCTGTTCAGTAAACAGTTACTATTATAAAAAACCTTAAAAATATGCAGTCGATAACCATCTTCATGAATAACCTGCAACCTCTATTTTTTACAAATTACAATGCAAGACCTGTTGAAGGAAAACTTGATTTATTTGACATGTTGTAATGAGAATCTAATGAGGAAACAAGAAGAAGAAAGAGATGAAGACAGGAGAGAGGGAAATGTGTTATCTCATATGACTACAAATAATGAGGGAAAATACACTTATACTCTTGTACAAGTATATAAAATCTTGACAAGTCAAGATTGTGCAAAATACTCAATCTGTCCTTACATAATTTAACTCAACAGTCCCCCCTCAAGTTGGTGCAAAGACAAAAATCATGCCCAACCTTCTGGTAATCTCATGTGGGCAGGCATTATTGATTCCTATAGTAAGAACATTGGTTAACTGCAACTGGACTGTAATATATGATGTGCAAATCTGCCATTTTAGAAACTTCTTTCGAATTAAGTGACAAATCTATATTGATGTGCTTGGTATGATTGTGTTGGACCGGGTTGTGAGCTATACTAATGTCTGCCTTGTTATGATAATATATGCTCACTGGTTCATCAGTAGTGAAGCCAAGCTCTCATAATTCTTAAGCCCCAATGTTTCAAAAACCCCATGTGCCATAGATCTGAATTCTGCCTTTGCACTAGATACTGCAACCACAGACTTTCATACTGTGCCAAGTAACTAAGTTTGCATCCATCAAAGAACAGTACCTGATGTGGATTTCCTTTTAGTGATGGATCCAGCCTTGTCACCATTTACTAGAAATTAAAAGAAAAAAGGTTTAAGTAATAAAAGAAAAGGAAGGTCTCTTGAAAGAAGTAGAAGAAGTTGAGAGATGAGGGGAGAGAAAGTTCATAATGATTGGGCTGCCTCTCCCATTAACTTTTATGGTTAAAGAATAAAAAGCATAGAATGTCAAATATACCCTCAATAGGGTGGCTACTGTCCACACACTTAAACATAACTTAAAGAAACACTAAACTAATGGGCCTTGGGCCCAATAACACTAACTACATAACAAGAAAACAAATAACAGTAAATCCTCAACAAATGTATGCTTCAATATGGAAATGTCTATGATTACCAAACAAGATGCCTCTCCTATGTGAGGACTTTAGATACTGAAGAATTCTATAAGCAGCTTCTTCTAGGATCATGCATATCTTGGCTAACAACACTTACACCATGGTAATATCAGGTCTAGATGGGGACAAATCTTCCAACCAATTGCTGATATCTCTTTATATCAACCAAAAGTTCCCCATCCTGATCACCCAAATGATGATTTGGTTCACTTAGTGTATGAATTGGTTTAGATCCCAAGTTCTATAAATTAAGAACACAAGAAGGAACATAAATAATAAAAAATGGAGCAGTGTTAACAACATTAGGCCAAAATGCTTTACAAACATCCATACACGGCCTTTGTAACTTCAAGAAGGTGGCAGTTCCTTCTTTTTGCCACACTACTTTTGTTGACAAGTCCTTATACAAATTGTTTGTTACTCAATTCCAATCTAAGAAATATTTCTGTAGCCTAGAATATATATGTTCTTCCAATTGTCTGACGAAGTTTAGAAGTTTGACCCTAAGTGCTAAATGGTTACGGTGTTACTCAAAAGGGATATTATTTCTTTGATCCTATTTCTGTTGCAAGTTTGTTTCTATTAATGTTACTTTTGTTGAGCCTGTTCTATATGTTTTGATGTTTCTAATAAGAGGGAGATGCATATTTGGTTTAGTCCTTCTTCTATACCTTTTCTGGTCCCTATTCTTGATCTTTTTTTTGATAATTGTTTCTTCTAATTCTTAGCCCTTAAATAACTCCCAGAGAGAGTTACAGGTTTCCTAGAGAAGGCTGAGTGTTGTGCCTACATCAGATATCGAGTCTCATCCACGGCTGGTTACTTTTTATGCTCCAGCTCCAAGTAGTTATCCTCTTGCCTTTTTAGATCTTGGCTTGCCTATTGCTTTGAGAAATGGATGCCTTGATTAAGAATCGAACATGATGGTCATTGATCAACATCTGGTTATTGTACTCTTGTAGTAGGTAAGAGGAGCAAGATGCAATCCATAGTTGCTCAACTGTAAAAGCTGAGTACAGAGCCTTGGCACATGGTGTTTCATATAAGTTATGGGTAATATCCATACTTTGATGAGATTGGTATTACTTATGATGAGCATTTGCATCTATATTGTGTTAATTAGGCTGTAATAAACGTTGCTCATAATCTAGCTCAACATGATAGAACCAAACATATTGAGGTAGGCAGGCACTTTATCACACAGAGGGTGGCTTCAGGAGAAATGTGTGTCATGTGAGCTTAGATTGGCAGCTAGTAGATATCTTCACTAAAGGAGTTAATTGGGTGAAGCTGGATTACTTTATAGGTAAGCTAGGCATGCTTGATCAATATTCTCAGCTTGAGGGGGAGTGTTGACAGATCGGCCAGCTCTTTGCTTAGGCCTTCCTTTTCTTATTTTAGTTGTTCTTGTTTTTTTTTTTTTTTTTTTTTTTTTCCTGCCACTTAAACAGGGGCATATTTGTGATTGTACCTTTCTTTAGTTGGCCAGCTTATACAAAAGTATGGGGGTCACTCTAACACCCCACAATTGGTAGTTTTCTCCGAACTCTTTTTTCTTTTTTCTTTTGCTTTTTTCTTCTAGTTTTTACAGGAAAGAAACTTCACAACTTATGGCTCCATAGAAGAAAAATAAAAAGACATCACCAACACATCAGGAACCAAGAGAAACACTGAGATAGAACCATCCAAACAAATAAAACTTCTCAATACCCGCTACAGAAAATCAGGGGGTTGATAGAGCCACTTTTTTTGGACAATGCTGTAATCTGTTGTAACCTGGGTCACATATATGATGGATTGTCTTTGTACTGTAACCAGTTTTTAATAAATTAATAAATGAATTTTTCTTTGCTGATCAGACAAAAGAAATAACACCCGCTATAGTAAAACATACCTAGAATAAAAAGCAATCTTAGCCACTCCCCTTTACTCTATGCCCATTTCCTCTTCTCCTAATCTTATGCTTTCCCGTTCCTCCACTTCTCCATTTTTGAGTCCTTGTACAGACAACGGTTCCCCTGTTGCAGCTGCTCATGAAGGGCTATCCTCCTTATTTAATGCATCACCACTGCTGGTATCATATAAATAACTGAATTAAACCATTATATGACGATCTGTATCTTTATCTATTTAACTTTTTAAAATTTCTATCCACTAGATGAAATATATGCTTGGATTTTCTATTTGATTTAATAATCTGAGACAATTAATAAGGAATCTAAACAGATACTGAACCTTTATTAAGTTTCTAGTAGAGATTCCTAATACTTAGTTTCCTAGTAAAAAGCACTACTTAATAAATCTGGAACATTATTTCCTATGACATACCTAAATGAATTCTAGTTTCTCATGCTTTTAACTACAGCAAAACTGAAATTAAATGGGACCCATGGTATTGGTAAAGTTGTATAACATTACTAAATATGCATCGATTTTTTTAAACATATAACCACTTATGAAGTTCAAATTATTTTCTGCACTCTTTGGTATGGGATGAATGCCTCTTCAGAAATTAGGGTATGCTTACTGTTGGTCTACCATGGGGTAGTTTAGATATTTTCATACATTTTTGTCACTATGTCATTACTAAGTTAATGAACAGTTCCATCACATCCCTATCTTTCCTCATAGGGCCCTCAAGTTATTGAAGTGCTCTTGTCAGGAAAAAACATTGGAATCTTTCTTATTTGAAGATGGGGTGCATTTATGTTTGTTAAGGCCATTTAACATTGTGTTGTATTTCTAGTTTTGGTTCCTTTCCTAGTAATGATTGTCACCCATTAGATATTATATGATTGCCAATGTTTTGGGCTGAATTCTGGCCCATGCTTCCTAGAGTTCATCGGAAATAGAGTTATCAGGTTGTTTGGTTTCTGAAGCTGTCATTTCAAATAAAATTTTGAGAGGAACAGATTTTCTTTTCAGGAGTTCCATTTGGTCGTACTTCTATTTCATCCAAACAAAGTTATATTGCTAAAGGTATGTTTTTTCCCAAATCTGGTTGACTGGTGAACTGAACAGCTAAGTCTCTTGTGCAGTACTCTCATTTGCTTGTTGTTATGTCCATTTGTGATTGTCCTTTCTTTCTTTCGTTTTTTAAAGCAAAGATGCAAATAAATTTCACCATTTTTTACTTTTTAATTTTGTATAGCAGATAACTTTACACGTCTCACTTTCATTTTGAATGTTCCTTTTTTTCCCTTAAGAAGTAAAATATCAGTATTCCGTTCTTTTAAAGTTTTTCCTGGATAGCTACTATCTGATATTTCAAACTTATAATTTATATAATTAAATTTTTGATTTTTTGCTTATGGTTCTAGTAGATTTTTAATGGAATTCTTCTTTAAGATTATATTGGAAGGATTATAAGTTATAACCATTGTAAGGTTATAGAATTACAATTTTCTTGACATGTGGGTATTCTAATACCTATTGTTGAATGTAAGTACTTAGCTAGGTTGGGAGTTGTAGTTTTTAAAAGGGGTTAAATATGTCTTTTAAATGGGGAGTTGTTATGTGGCCTGTGGATAGGGGTATTTCTGTCCTTTTATATGTTGCTTACTATAACCATTGGGGGCTTTGCAAAGCACACCAAGTTCTCCTTTAACTATTTTCTCCTCTTTTCTCCCTTTCTTCTTCTTTCTTGCTACTATTTTCTGTCTTTTCTTCTACTTTATTTACTGTTTTTCATTGATAATCTGAACTGCATACATGACATCTGTATTGTTTTGATGGGTATCAGAAAACTATGCAGTGTTTTAAAAGTGCAAGGCGCAGGGGCCAATTTGCGCTTGAGGTGCAAGGCGCAAGGTGAGCGCCTTTTTGAAGCAAGGCGCAAAAATACAAAAAATAAAAAAAATGCCAACAAATAAAAAAATGAGAAATAATAAAAAAGTATTAAACATAATATTAATAAAAAGTATAAACTTAAATTTTCAAATAAATTTTTTAAAAAACCTATTATATACTTAAACATAACATGTAAATGTATTCAAATGAAAATTTAAAAGTAAAATCAAACATATAAAACAATTTCAAGCATGTAAAACCCACAATCTCTTTTTTTCCTCAATTGCATTACTTCAAGTAGCTAATGCGATGTAAAACATATTACATTCCTAATCCTACAAGCCGCCTTTATGCCACACCTCTCGAGGCAATCCCAAACAAGTCCATGTTAGGGTCTTAAATTCTTAGTTTTCACACAAAAAATAATGATTTTATAATTTTAATTGCTTTTTAAGAAGATCTTTTATTAGGATGAATGAGTGAACAACATTAGCAAATAGGGGGATCTTGGAGCTTCGGTGAGCGAGCGAAACAAGCGAACTAGAGAAATGATGAAAGAAATAAGTGCAGGATGATACCCAGAGTACAAGCAAGGTTCAAAATATCGATACACCGATAGGGGCGTATCGGGCAAATCGATACACATTTTGGAGCCTTTTTTTATTTTTTTCGCAACCGGTTTAGGGGGGCCGGTTTAGGTCTCCTCTACCCTCTGAATTGGTCAGACCTCCGATACACCCACTGTAGGGGCATATTAGAGGGGTCCCGGAACGTTGAACCTTGAGTATCGGAGGGGCCGATACGTGTCAATACTTTGAACCTTGAGTACAAGAAGCAAGTGTTGCAAATAGAAAAGTGTCTGCTTTGTATTTGTAGAATTTGTGGAGATGCTTATGTTATCTGGGTTGAAAGAGCAAATTAGGGTGCACCATAATCTTGTTAAGAACTAGAGCTCCTAAAAAAAAAAACAGAGCAGAAAAGGAATGATACAAATGCAGAGGTTTTAGGAATGGAAGAACTCCTTAAACCTATGGAGAAAGAAGTTACTATGCAGAGAGGAAACAAAATAACTAAGGAAAGTTTATAGGACTATATATTATGGATGAGGTCTGCAACAGCAGTCTGCTTCTCAGGAGGTAAGAGAGCTGAAGGCTGGAAGAGAGTGCTGGAAACAACTCAGCAATTTTCTTGGAAACATGAACAATAACAAGACAAAGATGAGGTGATGGAAGATGAAAAGACAATGCTTGGTCGAGAGGAAGAAAGTAAGGAACTACCAGAAGATGGGACAATGATGTACCCAATAAAGGAGTTTGAGAGGTGGGCGATGGTAGAGTGGGGAAGAGAAGAGGTTATGGGAGTGAGGAAATTGCACGCAGAGCTTCTGTTAGTAATGTTTCACAGCAGAAAAATCGCAGAACAGGTTTTGGAGGAAGAGAAAGCAAAGGAGAGAACTTTTGATCTGAGGCTGGATTGGTGGTCACCGGCGGCCGGAGAACTGGTGGAAGGCAGACTGAAATGTGCGTTGTGGCCAAGTGTTGTGGGGATTCCACTACATGCATGGTGTAGCAACACATTCAAGGAAATCGCGGCATCTTACGGTAGGATCATAAGGTTAGACGATAGAAATAGGACCTGGGAGAAAATGGATATGGCAAGAATATTGGTCGAAGTAGAAAATATGACGGATGCTACAAAGAGAATATGTTTGGTTTTTGCAGGAGAACGGTATGATTTAACTGATAGTGGAAAGAGTGGATGACACTTACCGCAGGAAAGAAAAGAAACAAGAGGTGAAGGGATCCCCATATGAGAGAAGAAGGGTGGAGGAACGAGGAAGAGGAAAGGATGAGTGGAAAAACAGGGGAGAAGTTGGAGAAGAAGTAGAAGTGACTAAGAGTAGAGGAAGAAGATGATGAGCTGGCGGAACCACTAAGGAAGAAAATACACGTGGAAGGTGGGGATGAGATGGCAGGTAAGGAAAGGGGACAGGTGGAGATCGATGGGCCTGGGCCGATAGAAGGATGTATTTTTAAAGAGGGGGGAACAAAAAGAGGTGGAGACAATAGGTCACCAGTAGGTGATATGAAATTATTTTCAAAGAAGGGTAACCATTTCAAAAAGTTAGCAGTCAACTTTAAGAAAGCATCGAGAGCCAAAAGGTCAGAGAGTAAGAGGGTAATTCTGGAAAAAAACACATCTTCCTCGAAGAGGATTATCTCCGACCGTTCGAGTTCCAGGAATCTGATGCGCAGAGATCACAAAGAAGAAGAAAAAGAAAACTGGATTTGGGTGGTAACCAAATATGAGAATGGAAGAAAGATTAGATTACTGGGAGGCAAGAAAGACAAACAAGTACTGACAAGCTCGGTGGTAGAAGGAGAAACTCAGAAAACTGCTGTTGAAAGGAAAACAGTAGAGCCACAGAGAAGCAGTAAAGGAGTCGCAGACCAAAAATTTGAAGAACTGTTAAATAGGACGAGTGAAGAGGTATTCGTTCCACACTCAGAAACAGAAAGTAACAAGGAGGAGAGCTCTCCAAAAGGCAGCGATGAAGAGCAAGGGGCTTCGGGATGGTGGTCTATTCAGCAAGAGGAGTTCTCCTGCCTATCCGAATCCAAGCACCATAGGAAATATATTAGAGGCAACAAAAAAAAGTAAGGACAGACCTTGCGTGCGATCTGATCCAAGTAATTTGGAGGCTGCACCCAGAATTGAAGAGGTAAGTCAATCTGGCTCGTTGAGCACTCTTTTGATTGAAGATCCAAACAGGCGGAAAGGGGAGGAAGGAAAAAGAATAGGAGAAGAGGCAGGGGAGAAAAAAACAAAAAAAAGAAAGTCAAGGGAGGAGAAGGAAGGAGGTGGAGCACGAAACAGGGTATATAAGAGAAAAAGAAGATACTCTGGTATACCCTAGAGTTCAATAGAAGAGAAGCAAGTGGAAGAAGAAGAAGCTCCAAAGACTGGGGACAGGAATAAAGTGAGTGAGAGAGCAGACCAGACTCATAAGGACAAAGAAGTCATGGAAATAATACAAAATGGGAAGGTGAATATTAACAAATTGGTGGAAAGGGAGGTTGAGAGAGGAAAATCTCTTGGCTTGGTTTTTTGGGGTGGAGAAGGATTCGCAAAAATAGCATTCAAGAAGTTTGAGAAAAAGAAAAGAGAATAGGAAAAGAAAAGGGAGGTTGAGATTGGAAAATCTCTCGGCTTGGTTTTTTGGGGTGGAGATGGCTTCGCAAAAATAGCATCTGAGAAGTTCGAGAAAAAGAAAAGAGAATAGGAAAAGAAAAGGGAAGAAATTCTAGAAAAAAACAAGGGGTGGGATGAGGAAGGGGGAGAAGAAGAGGGTCTGGATGACATTGAGTGACCTTTTGGGGGTGGGGGAAAGTTAGGGGAGGGGGAGAAGATGAGGATATGCAGCTGGAATCTGAGGGGCTTGAGGGAAGGAAGGAGGGAGACAGTGAGAATTTTGCTCTGAGATATCAAACTAGAGGTAGTCCTAATTCAAGAATCAATAGTGGAAAACTTTGAGGTGAAAATGAAGAATGAAATCTGGAGTGAAGAGGGAGGTGAATGGATAGAGCTTAGAGCTTCGGGTTTGTCAGGGGGAGCTGTAAATGGAACCCAGGGTTTTCAAAAAGCTGAGATGTACTTCCTTTTTGTCCTTCAAAAAAAATGTACCCATTATTACTTTGGCAAGCAATACTTCTCTGCCAAGGTTAAAAATCAAGCAAGGAAAAGACTGTTAGGAACAAAGATTTGTCATATAGGTGAAGAAAGATATAAAGAACAGGGATGTAGGTGGTGATGCTGTTAGAGTGAAGGTGCAGACAAACACCACTCTAATTGTAGCTCTGTTTGGTGGAAACAAGGCAATTCTGGAGATAATGGACAATGCACAAATAGATGGAACCACAATGGTAAATTTGGAGGAAGTCCAACTTGTGATCTCTCTCGTTGGTGTCAATTCACGGATGTTAAGGTAATCCAATTTTGGAGAAAGGATTACTCTAAGTGTAAGGGTGCTTGGGCTACCATCTCATTTGTGATCAGAGAAAATGATGAAGTAGATAGCTTCAACGTGTGTTAGAGCATGTGGAGCTAGCTACCTTGGTTACCTCTGTTCAACAATTTTGCAAATCAGATGAGTGTAACTAGAGAGTATACCCAAGAAAATCAAATTGGTTTCAGAAGGAATAGTGTTTAGCATCTGGCTAGTGACCTCAGTTGAAGCAAGCTTGTGGAAGGAAGGGGCCAAGGTTGAAGACGATGATGTGGCAGGAGGAAGGGAGCATGAGCTACGTGGTGGAAATAGGTTGGAAAATTCAAATGGAGAAAGGGTTTGCATGGACAAGGAATACAAAAGCTTGCATGAAGGAGAAGGTAACCCAACCATTAACTTATAAAGACTTGAAGTAGGGGTAGTTTAAACTGGTTGAGCCAACACCTAATACATAGTTGTTAAGGCGCCTAGACAATTCTAGGTTGCAGTGGGACGCCTAGGCGATACCTAGGTGACAAGAATTTCATAAAGTACAAAAAACTAAGTTTCTCCAAGATTCCTAATATTATATACAATTCAGCATGCATATTAATTGGACCAATAGCAATTTTCTCTATTAGTAACATCAAATTTCCTCTTAAAATATTGAAAATAAACATATCTAGATGGCATTATTTCAATTATATTAAATTTCAGTATTTTAAAAAAATGATATTAATATAACGACTATTTAATAAAGCAATTTCATATCAAATTAGTACTAAAGAAGTTTATAGTTATATTTGAAAATTTTAAGATAGCAAGTAAAAGAGAAAGAGCAATGATTTAATATAAGAGAGAATAGAAAAAACAAAAAAAAAAGAAACATCGTTATATTTCTGTTATTTTTCTCTTTTTCTCTTCTCAAAACCTCTGGGTCTTTTAAACTTCAATGGTAAAACTTCAAAACAAAGTATCAATCATGCATATAGTATATAACAGAATGTAATAACATACATATTAGTAAGATGTAATAATACAATGTTATTATTTATTATATGTTGATATCATGTTTTCAGTGTTAGAGAGCTTGAGAAGAAGAGAAGATTGAACTGTTGAGAGCCAAAAAGAATAGTGGGCGGCTGCCCATCTTATTATTTATAATAGAGTGACCATAAAAATCCACTGGCACACTAAACTGTACACAAACACAGCATAAACAACAGATTTATCCACTTCGATCTAAGGATGTAGTTTCTAAATTTATTCAGGATTTTCACCGTGTTGTTTTTACACAATTTAATGTAGAGATAAAATCTTCTAGTCAAATAATGCAAAGGAATACTACTCTGAAGAGGTAACAGCTCGTGCTTCTTTTGGGTTCCCTGTACTGCCTTTTTTCTGAATTAATAAATTATCTTCATTCATCAAAAAAAAAAAAATGCAAAGGAATATCTGAAGGGTGATTTGTTGGAATTCTTTGAATCTTGTGGTTCCATCCATTGAAATTCATGTCCTCACACACCACCTTCATGAAGTTGCTCGTAGCCTTTTATTTGACATGAATGTTCCAAAGAAGCTTTGGATGGACATTGTGTTTACTGCTGCCTATCTGAACAATACAATGCCATCATGAGTTCTACAATACGGGACCCCATATTAGTGGTTATTCCCTCAGTCTCCCTTTTTTTCTATCCCTCTTCGTACTTTTAGATGTCGTTGGTTTGTCCATAACCTTTTTCATGGTAAGCTTAATGCTTCATCTCTCCCTTGTGTGTTCCTTGGGTGTCCTTCCTCCCAGAAGGGATATAAGTGCTTTACTTGTAGAAGAGTTAGTCACAAAGTCACAGTTCAGATTAGAAAAGAAGATAGAATGGTAGTAGAGAAAAGATAAGAGAAAGTAGGAGAAGGGGAGCAGAAGAGTAGTAACTGCTTCTCCAAATAAATTGTATTTATAGGCTGATTTAATTAAAAGGTTACAATGACCAAAATGCCTTACCACCCTAGTAAGCTAATAACAACAATAAAAGCATAAAAAAACACTATGCAAACAGCATAAATACATAGAAAAAAAACTAATAAGCTGTTTCTCTCTACTTTCCCCGTCAAGTTGGGAATAGATATTTGTCATTTCCAACATCTGTATCTGTTTCAGCTTGACCTCTGTGACTTTTTTGGTGAACACATCAGTCTACATGTCAAATGCAACATATGATAAACAAACTTCCTGAGATTCAACCCTCTCCCTAATAAAGTGGTGGTCTACCTCTATGTGTTTTGTTCTATCATGTTGTATTGGATTGTTTGCAATATAGATGGCAGCTTGATTATCACAATACTACATCAAGGGTATCTCATAATCAGTACCTAGTTCCTCAAGTAGAGATTTCAACCACTACACTTCTGATGAGCCATGAGCCTATACTCCGCTTCAGCACTGGAATGAGCTACAATACTTGTTGTTTGCTCTTCCAAGAAACAAGGTTCCATCCAACAAAAGCATAGTACCAAGTACCCTGAAGTAGACCTCCTGTCATCAATACATCAGGACCAATCTACATTAATATAAACTTCAATCTTCATATGCCCATTATTTTGATAAAGTACACCTTTGCCCGGATACCTCTTTAAGTAAGCAAGAATCCTCTTAAACAACCAAAGGTGTGTACTCCTAGGGGCATACGTATAATGACTAACAACACTGACAACATAAGAAATGTTAGGTATAGTCATACATAGATAAAGTAACTTCCCTACAAGCCATTGATGGATACCCTTATCTTCTAGAGGTTCACCACCCTCTGCACTAATTTTATGATTTAACTCAATAGGCGTGTCTGCTAGCTTAATACCTAATTTTCTCTAATTGCACTTTATTTGTCAAAGAAGCTGGAGACTATATAACTGTTTTGATTATGTATATAGGTGATGTTGTAGTTAGAGGAAACAATTCTCGAGTTAGATAAACTGAATAAGTTCTTGGTTTCTGTGTTTGAGATTCAAAACTTGGAAAACCTAATTGATTTTCCAAGGATAGAAGTTGCAGTTGAGGAAAGGAATATTTATTTCTTAGAGAACATACACACTTGATCTGCTATAGGAGACTAGAAAATGGAGAATTAAACTAGTGGGTACTCCCACCCACTGAAGACTCTGAAAATCTTTCATCAATTCTCATATATGATTTTTGGAGAAACTGGTCAGCAGTAGCGTGGTGTTCTTACATTAAGAATAAGATAGTTACAAGGTGGTCTCCTCTGTCTGAAGGCTCATTGAATCTGAACTTTGATGGAAGTAGCTTGGGCAATCCAGGGTTATCTGGAATGGGGGGTGTTCTGAGGAATGAGTTTGGAGAGGTGGTACTGCACTACTTGGGTCCTTTAGGAGTTAGGGATTCTGTTAAGGAAGATCTATTAGCTTCTTTACTAGGGGTGCAATTTGCAAACCAATTGGGGCTAGAGCATTTAATCATTGAAGGGGATTCTAAAGTGGTGGTGGGCTGGCTGAAAAACCCCAAGGATACTATATGGTGCTACAAGAATGAAATTAAGAAATTTAATTGGCTGACAAAGAGTATGTTGGTTTCTATGCAGTGGGTGGGGAGATCAGCAAATACTATGGCTGATGTGTTAGCCAATCAAGGGGTAAATAGGGAAGTTGTTTTGGGCTCAGCTGTGACTTATGTAATTTATTGTCAGTTATTGGGAGAGACTGCAGCTCGAGCCTCTCCTTGGGATGTTGTATGAAGCTAAAATTCTAAATCAGTTTCTGAATTAATAAAATTTCTATTACCCATAAAAAAACCATTAATGTTGTTCTGAACAAGGTGATATTCTTCTAGACAAGGGAGTGTTCCAGAGATTCATAGGTGGGTTTCTTTATTTATGCTTGATTAGTCCATGTTTGTTGTGCTACTTGGCTTGGGACGCTCATTTTAATAACATGCAAACTTTGATATGCTTGTGATGCAATTCAAAGATAGGGTTTTTTTTTTCTTTTTATCTTTCTCTTTTATTGACAGTACTTGAGTGTCATTGGTGTTGCAAATGTGTCATTTCTCATTTTCCTTGGTGTTATTGTTGTTAAGATCTGTATATTGTGATTGAATTCATTTGCTTCTGTTTAACCTGTTTTTTGGATGGTAGTTCTTGGCAGAAGTCATAGTGGACTTACTTGGCTTTTCAGAGTTAGTAATTTTGATTATTGCTGCATCTATTTTGTGAAGGTTTGAATTTTCGTCACACCTTATATCCCTCATACAAAAGCAATCGTGATCCAACCCCTGATACTGTAGTTCAGGGACTTCAGTATTTGAAAGCATCTATCAAGGCTATGTCGATCAAAGTGATTGAGGTGAATTTTGTACAGAAAAGCTACATAACATATAAATACAAATTGTTATCATGTGTTGATTGCTTACTAATGCTCTAAAATCCAGGTTCCAGGTGTTGAGGCTGATGATGTGATTGGAACATTGGCCATAAATAGTGTTGCTGATGGGTTCAAGGTAGTTTTGTCATTTTTTCCATTGCTTCCCAGCTATATGGGGTTGGCTACATGAATCCTATTCCATTATTGTATTTTGTTTGGTGCATCCATTGTTAAATTATGGGTCCCTAAATTATTTCACAATACTTCAATCCATGTGCTTGTGAACATGGATCCTTAATTGTCATTTTGTGCTCATGCTATTGTGATTCTTGGAAGTGACATGCTACACTTTAACCTGAGTGGGTGAGAAATGGTAAGGGTATGCTAGAGCGTTCCTTAGGGGCGAAGGCGATTTGCCACAAGAATACTTTGGTTGTGTTGAGAAATGAGAAGAAGCCAATCCAGAAACATGAATTTGATTAGGATGTAGAAATTAAGTGGAAATACTATGGAATTAGTAAATGCAAAATGGAGGTTTTTGAATATATATATATATATATATATATATATATATATATATTTATATGCTTCAAAAACAAGGATGAATATTTAGTAACATTTAAAATTGGATCAAATTCAAGTCAAATATATTATTTTTTCCTTATTAGGAGAACATAATGAAAGATGTATGAGGACTACAATGTTTTTATTGAGGAAAACCTAACTAGACAACATAGATTAATGGTGGTAGATGTACATATTAGAAGGTGAACGAAAAGAGAAGAAAATTAGTGTCCAAAAACAGGGTGGGCAAATCTAAAAGAAAAACTAGTACAATTTACAGAGAAGCTAATAGTAGAATGAAAATTGAATTTAGTTAAAGAGACTAATAATATGTTTCTTGAAATGACTAACTGTATAAAAAAGGTAGCAAAAAAGGTATTAGGGTAAACTAAAGGAAACTGACAAATAATGTCAAAGCAAAACAGATATGTTATAAAGATTACCAAAAGAATAAAATTGTAGAAAACTTAGATAGAATATACTTTAGTAGGGTTGAGTTACTTCCTAAAGTGTCCATTGCCTGCCATTCTTCTTATAGAATGATAGAATATACTTGTCGGTTTTTATGACACAAAACCTAATCCCCAATCCCAACTTGGGAATGCAACCCCAGTTCATTAACCTTGAAGCAGCTTTGGACATGGGTGAAAAGGGTGTCACTCCTAAAAGCGACCAAAAAGAAATAAAACGTCTTGAGTATCGGCTCCCATCAAGTCGACTCCGGGGCATCAAATCATCATCATCAACGCCTTGTCCCAACTATATGGGGCGGCTACATGAATCTTGTTTTGCCATTCCATTTTGTTTAGTGTTGTATCCATTGTAAAATCATGGGGGCTTAAAAGAAGGGAAAAGAGGAGAAGAAGAGGATAGTTATGAATGGTGTCTAGTTACTGTTCACACCAGAAGCATTGCATTTGTATTTGATAGGAAAAGTATAAAATTGTACTTTCTTGGGCACCCAAATACAAAAGGAAAAACCCCAAAAAGCCCTTACAACATGTATATTCTCATCACTCCCCCTCAAGCTAAGCATAGATATCTATCATGCCCAACTTGCCTAGGTTACTATCAAACTTCGATTTGTAAACTCGTTAGTAAGACAATTAGCAAGTTGATCCTCACATCTTACAAAGGACAAGCAAATTTCTCCACTATCAATTTTCTCTCAGAGGAAATGTCTATCCATTTCAATATGTTTTGTTTGATCATGCTGAACAGGATTATGAGAAATGTTTATATTTGCCTAGTTGTCACAATATAATCTCATAGGAGTTTTTGCTAGAATTCCCATTTTCGTTAACAAGGTCTTCAATCATAGCAACTTTGACACCCCATTTGCCATTGCCATGTATTCTGCCTCAACATTGGAGTGAGCAACAATAGATTGCTTCTTGCTCTTCCAAGATATCACATTGCTCCCAACTAGGGGACAATACCCAGAAGTAGATCTCTTGTTGTCCATTGATCTTGCCCAATCTGCATTTGTGTAGGCCTTAATCTTCATATGCTTGTGATTGGAGTATTAAATTCCATTGCTAGACACCCTTTCAAATAAGCAAGAATCCTGTTGAACATGGGTAAAGAAGATAACTAACCAGTCTTTGATAGACTTCTTTGTTTGAAAGAACATCTCCATCAATGGCATTCAATCTGTGGTTAGGGCCAATTGGGGTTCTAGTTGGCTTACACCCCAATTTCCCAACTTCCTTTAACAAGTCAAGAACATATTTTCTTTGAGAAACAAAAATATCCTTCTTTGATCTTGCTACTTCAATTCCTAAAAGTACTTAAGATCACCAAGGTGCTTAATTTCAAATTCAAAGGCAGGGAAGGGTTTTAGCTGAGAGATTCTATAGATGTCATCACCAGTCAAAACAATATCATCAACATATACTATTAGCATAGTCACCCGATCATCATGCTTTCTTATAAACAATATATGATTAGCTTGAAATTGAGAGAACCCGATCGTCAAGATTGCTCTTCTGAATAAACCAAGCTCTAGGAGACTGTTTGAGTCCATACAAGGACTTCTTTAGATGACAAACCTTTCCCTCATTGTTAGGAAGGCTCACTCTTGACGGCAGATGCATATAAACTTTCTCATGTAGGTTTCCATTAAGAAAGGCATTTTTCACATCCATATGATATAAAGGCCAAGAGAAGTGTGCTGCCAAGAGACATAATCACATAGATAGAATTCATTTTTGCCACTGGAGCAAATGTTTCTTGATAATCAATGGCATAAACCTGAGTATATCCTTTTACCACCAACTGTGCCTTATATCTTTCAACAAAGCCATCAGCCTTGTGTTTAACAATATACACCCACTTACATCCAAATATAGATTTGTCCTTGGGAAGAGAGAGAAGCTCCAAAGTCCGGTTCTTTATGAGAACATCCATCTCTTGGTTCATAGCTTCTCCAATGAGGTGATTGTACTGCCTCTATAACATTGTAAGGAAAAGAAACAGAAGAGAAGCAGGGATATAGGCGCAATAAGAGGGTGAGAGAGCATCATAGGAAACATAGTTAGTGATGGTAATAGGAGATCAAGGTTGGGATCAATAATAGGAGCATTAGGAGGTTTACAAAGTGTAGGATCAAGGTTATCTAGGACCAGGTGTTCAGATTGTTATGGGCAATCAAAATTAGGAGCCACCTTCTTCTGCCACTTGATAAAAAACTTTTGGATGATGCACAAGAGGAGGTGAAGAAATGCTGGTAGTAGTGTATGGCTCAATGCATGGTTTAAAATGTTGCGACATTTCGGTAATGTTGCCCAACATATGTCGGTGTCAAGACCTACCCACATGAACTCACATTGGAATTAAAAAATACAAAATGTCGGTTGATATTTTGACCATTTCGGTAAATATTGCCTTTGTCGTTTAAGAAAAACAAAAAAAAAGTATAATATTTCAAAATATTTCTTCCAAAATGTTGACAACTCAGCATATATTAGAAGTGAAGACAATCAAATTTCTTGACAAACAAAAAGAGAAAAAAGAGAGAGATTAAATAGGAAAAAAGAAGTTTTCAGTTTACATGAAGCTGGAAGAGTGAGAACTTCAGGCTCAAATAGGCATAAAAGTGGCTTTTACACGCAGTCTTGCACTGAAATACCTTCTTGAAAGAAGACGTAGGACAATGGACATCTAAAATTCTAAATAAATTGCTCTCATCTCACTCCCAAGTCTCATCTGATAAAAAAATTATGTCCACTCTCTTCTAATCTCTTGTTCTCATTAATTTTTCATTTTATTGCACACAAATTACTACTCTACCTTTATTTCTGTTATTTATATGTTCTAATGTTATTTATGGTGTGCAAATACATGGTGACAGAAGGACATTGTATCTTTTGCTATATTATTTATGCTTCATAAAATTAGCTTTCCATTAAGGCTGACCCATAGAAGAAGTTAAGGTTCACACACACACATATTTTGATCAATAACAGGAAACCATTAGATTAAAAAAAAATTAAGTTACAACACTCCAGGGAGAGATAAATAGGCTTAACTCTGTCCAAGAGGACAACAAAGAAAAAACTTACAAAACAGCTCAAAACATTTGATCCCTTCCCACTCCCTGCTTTTCCAAAGCATCTGCAAATGCGTTTGCTGTTCTCTTAACCCACTGAAATTGGATATCCAGCCTCATAGTTAGCCATTTAATCTCCCTCCTCTCATTAGCAAATTTCCACAATCTACTTTTCTTCTGTAACCAACTTATCACCAGCTTTGAGTCCCCTTCAACAACTAACTTTTGTAAATTCAGTTCCTTAATCTTCCTTATACCCTCTAGTGCAGCATAGACCTCAGCTTTAAGAGAGTCCCCAACCCCAATGGGACCTGAATACATTGCAAGCACATTCCCATCCTCATCCCTGAAGACCCCTCCTACACATGATGGACCTGGATTGCCCTTACTACTACCATCAAAATTTAACTTTATAAAGCCACAGCCTGGTGGTGACCACACAGGACAAACAAAAGAGCGATCAGGAGTAGAATTAGCCACCTCCACCCAGCTATTCAGCAACATATCTGTAGAAACATCATCAAACAGGTCCAAGGATTTTAGCCAATGCACCACCCTAACTTTCTTTTTACTTCAATAAGACAAGGTTCACATATCAATGTAGGTTATTGGGGCAATAAACATTTCTAGAATGTTATGTTCTTTATATTGCTTTCTTTGTACACCTGGAGATTTGTTCAGTTTAACTTGTATTGCCTGCTTCGTTGTACAGGTGCGGGTTGTCTCCCCAGATAAGGATTTTTTTCAGATTATATCTCCTTCACTACGTTTACTACGAATTGCTCCGCGTGGAACTGAGTTAGTTTCATTATCACTTGACATTTGTTACTTCATCATTCACCTTTTTTACACTGTTATAAGGCTCAGGCTCTACTCTATATTTCACCTACTCAGTGAGGGAAACTTATGATTCATATTTTATGTTGGCCAAAGCTGTTCACCAAGTTACCTCAATTCTTATGAGTGTATTAATGGGAACTCTTAGAAAAACAATGAGTTCCTTAAGCATTGATTGAACTAGTTATGCTTATGAATTATGATTCTAAGTGCATGATGATTTAGAATCCCATTTTTGTAAGTTTATTTAATGAACTTATTCTTGCACTTCTTGTCTGAGCTTCTGAGCTAACATACTATATTGTTGTTATTTCTGAGAGGTGAGACTTACACTATTTGTTGCCATTTGTGTAGGATGTTCTCATTTGGATTGGAAGAATTTGCTAAAAAATATGGGACTCTGCAACCATCTCAGTTTATTGATATCATCTCACTTATGGGGGACAAGTCTGATAATATTCCAGGTTTCTTCTTTGTTGGCTTTTTACTTTTCTTTCATGGAAGCACAACTTTGGAAAGGGGCCTTAGATTACTTAAACCTTGTAAAAAATAGTCAAACCTTCTGTTCAACTATTTATATATAAAGAACCTCACTTAACATTTTGATGTTGCTATCATTTTTCCTTTGTTAAATTTTCTAAGTCTAGACAATCAAATTTATTGTTCCATTTGACTAGTTAGTTCCTAGGTTCCATTTGCATATCTTTTAGGATTTGTTCAGTGTGACCATGTGGACTGTTGCTAAACTTGTGATTTTCTGATTATGTGCTGAGTTAAAGCATCTCACCCATGCAGGATTATGATTTCATTTCCATATTATTTTAACAGAAATCTTTCATAAAGAATATGATCTAAGGCATTGTACCTTCATATCTGAATATAAATAGAGTATCTTTTAAATGTATTTACTTGCGTGACAGTTGTTCCTGTTTTAAAAAAGCAAATTCATGCATATTGGTGAACAGCACCTAAGTTGGTAACAATATTATTTCAACCCATAAACCCAAGAAGAGTTTATAGTGTGGAAAGTCTAAAATCTTGTAAGATTTGCCTCCAACTTTGCCTTATTGTTCAAAAGGATAATTTTGAAATAATATATTGACTTTGAGTTCCTTTACATGATTTGTAATCTTGGATTGCAAATTAAAAAACATTATTCTGAAATTATAATTTGGATGGTTTTCTTTTTCTTGTTTACTTGATTTTTAAAATTCAGTGTTGTGAGTGAGTCACAAAACAGTTAATTCTTTTTTTTTTCGTGTTTGAAACTGTATGGCATATATAGTTGGTTTTTAGAATACTAATATGCTTCATAAATTCAATTCAGGAGTTGATGGCATTGGAGAAGTACATGCTATAAAGTTGATCAGTAAATTTGGTATGCTTAATTATTTAAGTTGTTTCTTTTTGGGAAAAAATATGATTACATTGGTGCATGATTGGTGGCTTTTTGATAATTCTAAACTATGGTGGTTTGGTTGGACTGCTATTATTCTCTCTCCCCAACCCCTACTCCAACCCCCTTTCTCTCCTTAGTTATCCTTGTTAATCTTAATCATGTTATACACAATCCCTTGTCTAGCTACTAGCTATAATATTTGATTATATTGTATTTATCTTACTAAAGTTTGCTTTTAATTACCTAGTGTAATGATGAAATCTTGGGCTGGCATGCGTGAGAACGCAGGCTGGCACCTAAGGTTGGTTACTTTGTGTGAAATAAAATGCCAAAGGTTAGAACTAGTGTTTATAAAACTGGACCAGACCTGCCGGTTGAAACGTGACCCGGGGCCTTGACCCAGTTCGGTCATACCCCAATAATCGGACTTGCTCAAAACCTGCTGACCGGCCGATTGAACCAAAAAACTGATGAATCGGTCCCGGTTTCATGAAACCGCCCGGGTCCATACGTAAGTGAAATTTTAAAATGTTGTTAACAAGGTTTGGACTCAAGACCTCTTATTTTCACAGACTACTTAATTACCACTAATCCACCTCTTTACTTATGCTAGTTAATGACTATTTATTATATGTATTACATTATCACGTATTTTAAAGAAAATATAAGTTAAAAGGCTTGGACCCTAGTCTTTTGTTTTAAAAATTAAGAAACTTACCATCCATCCACTATACTATATTATATATAGTATTTATATGACTCATAGTATATAATGTATATGCCACGTCATCACGGTTTGACCTCCAATTCGACCCTGGTCGAACCTCTAACCCATGAACCTCTCCCTTCTCCGGTTCTATGCTCGGTCCGATTCTCTGAACATTGGTTAGAACTATATGCAATCTACTCTTCTCACGACCCCAGATAGCTGGGATCAACATTGGATAATCACCTTTTTGAAATTTCCTTTTAAAATATTTTCTTATATTTTCATATTTTTTGATTGATATTAATGGAACTTTCATTGATGATAGTAAAAACATGAATTCAGAAGTCTTGGAAGAGAGTAGTGATGTAGGATGTCTAGTGGTGGGCTTTGTGAGGTGATGGGGTGAGCGATTTGAGATGAAGAATATGGATGGAATAGCAAGCAGAATGTTTTCTGTCCATCAAAGAATGAGCAAGAAACCAGAAAGAGAGAGAAGAGCTCTTGCTAATTTGTGGTTCAAAGAGGGACAGTTTTGATGATCAGGTTGGTAGTCCCTTTTGTCTACTTGTTTTTGATGATTGGATGATTCATCGTGGTGTGGCAACATCCTACTCTCATGTTTATGAGATTGGCTAAACATCTCTTTTGTCTGTTGTGGAGTTACAGCCAGATTTCTTGTCTATTTAAATGACTTTTGTCATGCTTAATGGTCCTAATTATGTACCATGGTCAAAATCAGTTGAGGTATTTCTTGTTTGGAAAGGTAAATTGAAATACATTAAGGAGAATAGGCCACATAATGGGACTGATGGGTATAATGATTGGGTGCAAGAAAACACATATATTATGACATGGTTTTGGAATAGTATGGAGAATTACATTAGTGTTAACTCATGTTTCTGGACATTGTCAACAAAGATTTGGGATCATGTAAAATAGTTGTATTCAGGTTAAGATAATTGACAAGGATATACTAGTTATATCAAGAATACTTTACTCTTCCACAAGGTAATAAAAGTGCAGAACTATGCAGCCTTGAAAAATCTGAGGAATGAACTGAATGTGTATCTGCCCTTGTCTACAGATTTGAAGGTACACTAGGAGCAGAGAGAACACTTAGGTATTTCTAGATTTTTATCTGGGTTAAGGATTGAATTTGAACTAGTGCATGCTCAAGTTATGGGCAGTAGTGACCTTGCATCCCTCTCCGAAGTGTTCTACATTAGGAGAGTTTCCACTCAACATAATGAGAACACACCTATGCCAGAGAGGTCTACCTTGGCTGTTACTAGAGTAATGTAGTGTGGGAATTGGTCTAAAACAATGCAATGTTGATCACGCAGTGTTTAGCAAAGACACCTCTTTTAGGAAGATTAATTTGACAGTTTATACCTGGAAGACACCTTGCGTTTTTTACCTTGGTAGCTGATGCCATGGTGTCACGGGGGTAGTTTTGCAGTGGAAGAAACCCGTGCGGTGTCCAGGCCAAGGTAGGCCAGGACAAGCCTTTGTGTGATGCAAGGCTAGGAGTTGCCCGATGAGATGGCTCCACCAAGGTCAGTAGCACTGGATCATGACCTCAAGTTGCATGGCCGGGGCACTCGGCTGGCTCTGGCCGGTCCATGGGAGGCGCCGCTTACGTGCTAAAGGGGGAAGGCCATGATGTGAGGCGACTATGCGCCGAAGAGGTGACTTGGCACCGATGTGAAGGGTCTCCTGTATGCCGATGATGATGGGCACCTGTGTGCCATGTTGAGAGGCAACTGCTTGGGCTAGAACATACCCGTGCGCTATGGGCAACAGGATAGCTCATTCATCTTGGGCAAAGGGGCTGGCGTGGTGAAGGGTCATGCTTGAGCCAAGCTTGCATGCCAAGCCTCCCTTGAGTGTCAGTAGCGCAGTGCCGGCCCATGCATTGTCCCCATGAGCATGTGTGCGCCCATGAGGAACCCTGGTAGCCATGCTAGCCATTAACCAGGGCCGCCCCACAAGGGAAGTTGGTCTAGGAGTGCCAAGGTTAGGCACCCAAGGAGGTTGACCACCCCTCCTCAAAGAGTACGTTGAGCTTTTGGTGGTCTGCCTGAAGATAACATCAGTTCTCCTAAAAATCTTACAGGTGAAAATGACGGTGAAGTCCCTTATCGTAAGCCTGCCAAGCGTAGGCAAGGCTAAGCCTGTGTCAGACCGTAACAATAGGGAGATTTTTCTTAAAAGCAGAATCTAGGGAGCTAGTAAGAGGGTGAAGAGTAGGGAGGGATAGAGTGGCTATCACACATTTGCAGTTTACTGATGACACAACATTATTTTGTGAATGAGGTGATCTTTGTTGGGTGAGAAATCTGAAGTTAGCGGTCCAACTCTTTGAGCAAATGTCAAATCTGAAAATCAATTCTGATAAGAGTTGTGTAGTGGGAATGAATATGGATGAAAGGGAGATGTCAGATTGTGCAACTATCTTGGGGTGTGAAGTATCAAATTGGCCAATGAACTACTTGGGCCTTCCTTTGGGAAACAATCCAACAAATGGCAACTTCTAGTGGTGGAGAGAGTCATAAAGAGATTAGCTTCTTGGAAGAGGATTTATCTATCTTTTGGTGGGAGGATAACCTTAATGAAAAAAGAATCTTCAAATGGTTGACTCGGGATTTGATAGTGAGGTTACAATGGGTAAAGTGGTGTGTTAATTCCTTTGCAAATGCACTAGTACCTATCTTTTGGGCTTATTTGTATTTTTTTAATTTTGGGGGAGTTAAGAGAGTTTATCTCCCTTTGCCTTTGTACATATCTCTCATTTTTCATTAATGAAATGTTTGTGCTACTAATAAAACAAATGACTTCAGTAATGCGAGAGCTTTATTGGGTTATGGTCTATTAAAGGAGTTGGGTTTGATCTCTTTATCCTGTAATTAAAATCTGGGGTTGAAGGGTTGTAACCTGTTTTGCTTTATGTCCCAATTTTTTAATAGAAGTTTTCTTTTTATTTATTACCAAAAAATAAATAAAGGGTCTGGTCCATAGAGGGTGTTTAAAATGTCCCTAATTTCCCTAATATTTCCACAACATATTTCCATTTCCACTTCCATGGGTAGTGATATGAAATTTTACTGGAAGCGACATCTTCTCCAGTGAACACCATCACCACTTTGAGCTATGTTGATAACAATGTTATTTCCTGCCTAATTTACATGATTACCACTTTGAGCTAGCTCAATATTCATTTCAAACTTGAAGTTAAATATTAGTTTTTGTTTGTGTAATAGATTATTCAGAAAAGTATGGACAGGCCCAATGCAGATTTCTGAATTCCACTGCAGACCTATAAACATTCAAAATGTCAAAAATCCCCACTCTATACACCAATGCCCGCCTGTGAATTGGCATCAATTCCGAGCTGGCACCTACCCCAACTGTACTTTGGGCCTAAAAATTGTGACCCTGGGCTGAACCGTCATTCTCCCTAGATTATTTGGTTGATCCTTTGGTTTTATTGATAATTAAAGAAGTTTTATGAAAGCATATCAAACATGTGATACAATAAGCTTCCTTCAAAGAGGCGCAAGGTGTAGCCTCAAAAAATCACAGAACTGCAGTTTAGCCCAGAAAAGTCTATCCCTATTGCATCCCTTGCTTGGGTAGACAATCAGATAGGCCATTTTCTAATCTTCTTTGACATTGTATCCTCACTATCATGTTAGAAGTAATCCATTTAAGCCTCTTCACCTCTTCCCTGCTTGCTGAAACAACAGATTCCGGAACCTGTAGCCATCTAATACCAACTTGGAATCCCCTCAAGTAGTCTGTCAATATTCATCTCCTTACCTAATTGTACCCCTTGCAAAACAGCTAGAAACTCAGCTCTGGTCGAGTCTTCCACACCTAGCGGACCTGAGAACATAGCAACTATGCTGCCACTTGCATCTCGGAATACCCCTCCATCCTGGAGGAGCCCAAGTTGATCTATTACAACCTTTACATTTTCTATGAGATTAAATTTTTCTTAAACTCTTTCTATCATGAAGCTCTGAATCTTAAGGTTTGTAGGGCAACTTCAGAACATATTCTTTTGTCTATAACCTTAGTTTCTTAGCTTTGTTTAATTATTAGAACAAAATAATAATTTAAAAAGGTGTGCCTATTGCTTCTTTTATCATTTCATAAAATATCATTCTTTATTTTGCATATTTTATAATGTTTCCACCATGTCTACTATTTTTATAATATTTCCATATGATATTTTTGACATGTTTCTTATATTTGGATGACTGATATTTCCACTAACACTAACATTTTAAACCTTGCTTCTATTACATTGATTTTAAGTTTCTCAAAAGACCACAAAATGTTTGTTTTAATTAAAGATGATATTAGTTTGAAAAGATGTGGACATGCAATAGAAAATTCTTCAGTTCTTTTTTTTTTAAATACTTGTGGAAACATGAAAATTGCATTTTTTCTTGAAACATTCCTTTTTTTTTTCAAAAGAGATGGGCAACTCTTCTCTAATACACATTGACGAGGAAGAAAAAACCTCAGGGTTCCTTTGCCAGGAGAAATTCTATAAATAATTGTTTTTCATTTCAATCTTACTCTCGTAATTGTAATGGAATTTCTGAGATAAGGGAAGATATGGTATGTAACTGGCCTAAACCAAGTTACTGGTTGTACCAGTGAAGCTGCCACAGATGATGAAGCTAGGGTTGAGGGTGGCTGATGTAGAAATGACTTGGATGATTATGGGGCATTGCTAAGATAGATTTTAGTGTGAGAAGGTAGGGTGTTATTTTGGATTATGGGTCCCATAGAAAATGGGTGAGCTCTTCCTTTTAAGAGATTATATATTTTAAGGATGTTCCTTTCTCTTGAACCCCTTTGCTTTGCTTTGGTTCCCATGGAATTCTAATTTATAGATGCCATAGGAGTCAGGACTTGATAAGGGGTTGTGTTCTTGCCCTCTAATGTGGTGTAATTAGAGGTTGCTTATTAAACTGAACAGACTACCTACCATCTCTCATGTGCAAGGGATCCAGATCCCAGTAACTTGGCATCCACCAGGCTAATCTTGGAAAGTTGTACCCAATCTCCTCCAGTGATTTAAAAGGCGTGCCTAGGCGCAGAGGCGAGGCGCATTTTAGGGTAGGTGCCTCATCCAGGGCCTAGGCGTAGCCCTTTCAAGGCATGCGCTTGATGCGCTTGATGTACCCCCTATTTGGTAATGTTGTTCATTCATTCATCCTAATAAAAAATCTTCTTAAAATGCAATTAAAATTAATAAACCATTATTTTTTGTGTGAGAACTAAGAATTTAAGACCTTAACATGGACTTGTTTGGGCTTGCCTCGAGGGGCGTGGCATAAATGCAGCTCGTAGAATCAGGAATGTAATATGTTGTACGATTGCGGGTTTTGCATGCTTGAAAATGTTTTATATGTTTGGTTTTATTTTTAAATTCTCATTTGAATATGCTTTACATGTTATGTTTATGTATTTTAATTTTAGATAATAGGTTTTTTAAAACATTTATTTTAAATTTTAAGTTTATATTTTTTATTAATATTATGTTTAATATTTTTTGATTTTTTTTTGCATTTTTTATTTTTCTGACCCCTTGCGCTTTTAAAACACTGATCTCCTCCAAAATTTACCTTAACAGTAACTTGAATTTCCATCTAGTTGTTGTCTAAAGCTAAGATCTTTCCCAATGTTACCAAGTAAGAACAATGGCATCCACACTGATTATGTCTTCGCTTCCTTATTTTAAGATGAACTCACGGAAAATATCTTTGAATTCTTCTTTATGAATCATTTTAATTCTCCCTTCTGGGTTCTACTTGCGAATCCTCCTTTCTCAACCTGTGCATGCATTCCTTTGAAAGAAAAAGCAGTGAATAGTGATTGATAGTTCTGTTTTGTTATGAGCTCAACTTATAAACACTTGGGCATGTGAAACAAGGACAAGTTTCGCTACCTTACACCATCTATTTGGTGCAAGTTTTTAATCTTGCCTAGTTGAAATCTGAATTATTCATTTGTATGTTTTTTATACTGATGATATGGTCAGAAGTTGGTCTGTGGTGGCATCAATTTCAGCCAGAAGATCAAGAACCAACATACCCTAGACCCTTCCTCCACAAGGTAGAGTGAAACCAAATTTTGAACACTGCCGCATTGGAAACCCTAGGGAATCAGGCATAGGAGGTGGTTTTAAGGATCAAGAAGGATATTCTTTACTGGTTTCTCTGGGCCAATTGGAATTGGAATCGGAAACTCTATTACAGCCAAACTTCTGACGGCAGTTTAGGTCCTAGGATTGACTAACACATCAGGTCTCCACAGAGTTGTTGTTAAAGGAGACATAATATCTATGATTTGTTGGTGAAGGGAAAGATAACTAACAGGACCTTGGATTTTCAAAATTCAACTATAGAAGAAGGATAATTCATACATTTGAAGTGGAGGTTGTCCGGAGACCCCAATCACAGTCTTTTGCCAATTCCTAGCTCATGAAGGAGTTTGTAAACGGTTTCTGATGGGGGTTGAATACCCAATAGGATAAAGAAAAAGTTTTCTGATATAAGAGGGACCTATCAAGCCAGTGGGTGAGTTTCTGTGGGCTAGCTCGATAGACCTGTACTCTGAAAATTTCTGATGCTTTTATCAATCACTGATCACAAAAAAAAAAAAAAAAGGGTTCTGAGCCTGCCACAAAGTTTCATTTCTAGCTGCAAAATAAAGTCATACATATGTTGCCAATATCCATTTATATACACATATCCTATAAGAAGTGGAAACTATGTTGGAATCCCTACCTTGGTTGCATGTATCATGTCATTCTTTTAAGCCACCATAACTTCCTTCCTAGCAGTTATTTCTTCAACAACACTAATATTTCTACCCCTCATGGAATTGCTAATCAATGAATGTCAATTTCATTATCTTCCCTAAACTTTACCCAAACTGCACATTCTTCCATATAATTTAATGCTCTACACACAGTATGCTATAAATTAAAATTTGCCATACAGAGGGTAAACCGATTCAAATCTTAATTATTACAACTCGTTAGCCCCCAATGAGACCGATAAGAAACTTAAAACAGAATAATAAATTACTTTCATGCAACACAAAGGTTCTCTAACAAATTTCATTGTCTATTTGATAGAAAAAACAAGTTGATAGAAAAATGTTGGAAGTTACACACAAAGGGCAACAGTGACATTATTTTTTCTAGTCATTTGATATATTGCTTTATAGCTTAGTCAAATTATTTCATTTAGAATATCAGAAAATGCATAATCTACTTCATCAACTTGTTTTTTTCCTGGTCATTAATTGAAAGTTTGAACTTCTGTCTTTGTATTTATCCAATATCATAAGGAAAGATTCTGACTGCAATATTTGGTTTCAGATGTATAATTTGCACTCTTAGGTAGAGTTTAGGGATGAAAGTGAAATTTGTCTTAAAAATAAACATCCCTTATTAATCCATTTGACTGGTTTGTCTAGATGGTAAATGTGGTATTTAATTTTATAAGGGCGACTTTGAAATTTATTTATTGAGTATAAAATTGAGTAAATAAAGTGCACGGAAGAATTGATTGAAGACAGAGGACAGTGGTTTGTGGAACTTTAACAATGAGAAAAAACAGTTCTTATGGCTGGGTAGGGATATTGAGATTCAGTACAGCTGGGTGAAGAGGAGTTCCAACTCATTTGCGGATGGGTTGGCCAAGCAAGGAGTGAATAGGGAGGTTGTTTTTTGGGCTAGTTTTTTATTTTCTTTGCATTCCCTTTGTTTTCTATTTTTGGGGAGCTAAGTTATTTTATCTCCCTTTGTATTCTTTTCCCTCTCTTCTCTTAATTTAATAAAGTTGATGTTATTGATCAAAAAAAAAAAAAGTGCACGGAAGAATTTGCAATTATAGTTAAAGTTTGAGAGATAATCAAGTTTACCCAAACAGGAAACTCACTTATTTTCCTTCAACATTTTACATGAAGATCAAAAACTTTTGTAGAAAGTATAGTCACAGTGTTCAAGTCAAATATTTTCTGACCTATGCTTGCCTAAACTAAGGTGAGGCACTGTTGATGAAGTTGATGTGATTGCGAATAAACACATAGCCAGACTAGGGTTCAGTTGCATATTATCTTTCTCTGTCCTCTTTTTGTTTGTGGTAGTTATTCAACTCCTTCATTAATTTTGTGTTGTCCAAACATTTTTTGCCAGGTAATTTGGAGAATTTGCTGCGATGTGTTGATCAAATTGAAGAGGAACGCATCAAAAAGGTTCAGCAATCATCTCTTATCAATAGAACGTTTTGTTTTCTTCTGGTCGAAGAGAAAAATAACTTTTTGTTTTCTACCAAAAGAAGATGTATTACAATGGATATCAATCATATTATTCCTTTTCAATAGTTTTTGTGGGATAGGAATATAAAATTAGAATTGGGTAAAACTAAAGTTAGTTAACCTTGAAATTACAGAAAATGTCAACTATCTTTTTGTGGATTAAATTTGGATTCTATGGGCTTCATAGAGCTGATTTGGACCAGCTAAGAAAGTGAAGCTTTTGTAACACCAACTTCCCATAGGTCAAGGCATCCCTCTTACTTTCCCAATTGAAGCTCCAGTAGTATTCCAACTCCTTCCACATTGAAGGGCAGAATATTGGGAGATTCTTATCACCTTGAAGACACAAAGGTGAATTCAACATTGAGTTGATAAACATGTCCAAAGTGTCTCTGCACTCTGCTCAGCATATTTGGACTGGGCTTGATCCCAATTTGAAAATCTTGTTGTCTGTTTTAACCCAAATAGACTTTTCTCTGTGGTATAGTCATAGTTGTCAAGGCAACACCTAGGCATGACAAGACACCCTTTGAGGCTCGCCTTGCCTAATTGCCAAGCAGTTTTGTATTATGTGTTATAAAATACTTTTTTATTCTTTATTTTTTGACATTATAATTATAAAATAGGCACTATTAAACTAAAATATTCATTTTGTGTGTTTATATACTAATTTGTTTTTATTATTTTCTTATTTGTTAGGATTTAATCAATACAGACATTGCTAAATGCTGTAGTGAACCCTCAAAGACTTTAAAACCTGAACCAATAAGTAAGGAAGAACTTAAAATTTTGTCTAATCAACACATTTTCTACTTCTACTACTACTATTTCTTTTCTTCTATTCCTATAACAAAAGTAAGGGTTCAGCCCCTATAGTTTTTGAATTTTCTTTTCCTTCTTTTTTTCTTCTCATGAATATGTTGATTTTCTATACTTAACATTAACTCTATACTTTTCTTATGAAAATTATGAATAATTATTAAGGAAATATGGCTATGGTACCTAGGATCTATGTTTTCTATATAAAAAAATCCATCGCCTTGGCGACGCCTAGGTGCCCGCCTAGGCGACACGGCGTCCCCCTGATGCCCAGCCTCGCCTTGGTGCCTTGAAAACTATGGGTATAGTGTGGATGGTGTGTCTCTGCACTAGTTCCTTCATTTTACCAGTCAAATGCCCCAGTTTCCGTCATTCCAAAAAACAATCATAGAGATTTTGCACTCTGTTAAATAATTCAGTCCAGCTAGAGGTGTAATAGAGATCTAAAAATTCATGTTCACAGCACTGCCACCAATTTAGATTTAACTCTGTTAATACCAGACATGGCAGAATCATCAGTAACCATGATTGCCTTCTAGAGAATCTAGACCTTTCTCTCAGCAATCCAGATGGGTAATAGAAAGCAATAACAATATACCCCCAATCAATTATACTCACTGTTCTATGGCAACTATATAAAGCGAGGATGTTGCCATCATAAGAATATGCTCAGATGAGCCAAAAAAGGGAATTTGTCAGATCTGTGCTAGTCTAAACAGGCTCTAAATTGCTGCCACAAGCTAATCTTTGCATATATTGCCCTAGGAAACAACCAAAATACCTGTTGTCTGTTGGCATATGGAATGGACTCCGAAATGGTAAGAAGGATCATCTTCACTACCCAACTAACATAATGGGAGCTTTAAACCACTTTTTAAACAATCATTGTGTGGATCAGAAACTCACAAAGGGGGTTCATTTGTATGTGCAATCAGTCCAGCAGTGTTGGGACAATTTTGGCAATATCTGTTGTACTGAAAAGGTATGGTACTAGACAAACTTTAACCAATCAGAAGCCCACATGAATTTGGATGGATACTGGTTGATTAATTCCTTATTTTTAGGATACCATGCCTTTTTTGGTTCAGTGGTGGGACAAATTAATTAATAATGGTAGGTACATTTGACTGAATTAGCTCTATGAGGGTGCAAACCCATTTGACCTCCATTATCTCTTTGAGGGTGGTGAACCCATTTGTCCAAAAATAACCCTCCAAGGTGGTGAATCCCTTTGTAATTAGACCTGTTCATGGGCAGAGTAGCCCGGCATGCTTGCCCAGCCTGGCCCGGCCCATTCTTTATCTGACCTGAGCATGTTTGGAGGCCTGCATGCTCAGGCTCGAGCTATAAGTATCATGCCCAATTATTTTATGGGCCAGGCTTGGACTTCATAAATAAGCCTGGCCCAATAATATTGTATGCAATAAAAATATATGTTAATATTATATTACTAATATTTTACTGTTACTTCCTATTCAGACTGAGAACAATTCCTTAGATGCCCTTAATAGGGCCCCCAACACTTAAAGAACTAATAAAATAAACAAAAGGAGGCCCATAACTAAAAGAACATAAACTTAAAACATAACTTCAAAGAAATAAAACCACTAAGGCCCATTTTTACTACACTCCCCCTCAAGCTGAGCAGAGATATCAATCATGCCAGCTTGCTTTCATAATGTTGAAGCTTTGCCTTTGGAACTCCCTTAGTCAGGAAATCTACTAGTTGCTCTTTTGGTGCAATGAAGGGAAGGCACACCTCTCCTGTGGTCATTCTTTCCCATATAAAGTGTCTGTCTACCTCAATGTGCTTAGTTCTACATGCTGAACTGGGTTGTGAGCAATGTTAGTAGCAGCTTGGTTATCACAATATAGCATCAGTGGCTTGTCACATGAGACACCCATATCATCAAGGAGAGATCTAAGCCATAATAACTTAAAAAGCCCATGGGCCATAGCCCTATATTTTGCTTCAGCTGAAGATCTAGCAACCACTGTCTGCTTTTTACTCTTTTAAGAAACAATATTCCCAACTACCATAGCACAATAGCTTGATGTGGACATCCTATCATCAACATTACCTGTTCAATTAGCATTTGTATATGCCTCTACCTTCATATGACTATGTTTCGCGAACACCCTTCCCAGGAGTTCCTTAAGATAATACAGTACAAATGAAAGCAAACTGCATTTAATCCACCTCAACACCTGGCACCTCCAGTAGATCTTTGCACTCTTCATAAGGTGATAAAATAACTGTGCAGTTCAGATTCAGATTCCTCAGTAACTCCTCTGCTACTTTCCCCCAATCTTTTGGTGGTCTATTTAATTCCACAACAAGTCTCTTCTTCCAATCCTCCTCCAGTGCAGTGAAGATCAGCCTACCTTCACAACAAGTCTCCTCTACCAATGCTTCGAATTCCCCTACTATCTAAAAATTATAAAAAATTAGCACTTTAAAAATTCAATTTTGACTTATTTGTTCCTGTATTATAGAGCCTTGGGATTACTTCAGCATTTGGACTAGAAGTAGACATTATAACAATTATATCTAGGATTTCCTATGGGCTTACAGCATAGTTCATTGAAATTATAAAAAGGCCACTACAAGCCAAATAAATAAGAGAAAATTTAAGAACTCTCTTACTATATAGCCAACTCTAGAAAAAAACTAAACTATCCTTAACTAGATCTAATGGATACTAAAACAATGGTCAGGCCCTACATAAAAATGCAATAACAAAAATACCAATGCTATTTATAAATTAAAGAACATAAATAAACTGACAGAACTGTTAGTCTATGGAACTTATGATCCATGCCCTAACTTCTCAAAGATGTCTAAGGGATATTATGATCCCATGTCTCTATCAATTACATCCAGAATCAATAAAAATTTATCTCCAAATGAGGCTTTTATTGACATCTTCAAATCCCAGATGAGCCAACAGCATCAATGTTGAAATGACCAATATGAACTACTCTACCAATATAATATCACATTCTCTTTTCATACTAATATTAATGTGAGCGGCCAATCTTCTATTATCCTTTTTTTCCTTTATTCCTACTCCCTAATATAATACCACCTTCTCTTGTCATATTAATATTTCCATCCTTATCATTTACCCGCCATAAATAGAAAAGAAAGAAAGAAAGAAGAGACAGAAGCAACAGTAGGAATAAGGACATCTCTAGGGCAATTATAATGATAAAATAGTAAATATATGGAATTTGATTGCTGAATGAAGCAAGTATGGCTGGGGTCCTAGTGTCCTGCATGAAGATTCATTTGCAGACACGATGTTATTGTGTTATATGTGAGCAGACATTCAAAACAAAATATGAGTTATATTTCAACAATCTTTAATAACATGTTTTCTTTTGGTAATAAGAATATAAATAGCTTTTAGTGAAAAGGAAAACATAAGGTCTATGATCAATATTGCTAATACAATCTTTAGTATCAACAAAGTTATACTTCAAACATGTACAACTATACAACTCAGATATCTTATACTTCTTATTTAGGAATGAGATTTATTTGCTCATATTATGTTTCTCTCATTTTGTATATATTAAACCTTGTTTATGTGTGTTATTTTTCAGTATTTTTAAGTTATTGATGTGTCATATTAACATAGATGTTCTGAAATTTGATTGGGTTCAATTGTATTTCATTCTTTGCTAACCTTTTCTGTTGTGGACTGTGCATTTTGGTTCTTCTCTGTTTTTTTTTTTTTGTTTTTTTTTTTACTTGTTATTGTTTTATCTTTTACAGGCCTTGATAGCAAATGCTGATCAAGCTTTGTTAAGCAAGAACTTGGTAATCTTCCTCAAGTTTTCCTTTTGCATCTCTTAATATTTGCAATCACATTGAATATTGACTACTATAAGGGTGAAATAGCTTGTTCCTTTATCCTTCATTCTTATTTCTGATAATCGACAAGTATTTATTTGGAAGAATAGATTAACAGTCCTTTTCATAATATTGAAAGTCTCCATGATAGAACCCTATAGTTTACATCTTAAAAACTTGAGAGGGGCTAACAAGATATTACAAGCACACACTATTTTTTATTGGTAAATATTATTTTATTACTGGTAAAATATATAGTATCTACAATGGTTTAGAAATGCATATGTTGAGATGGATGAGTGGAAAAACCATAAAGAATAGGTAATAAAATGAGGGAAAGTAGACTAAGATGGTTTGATCATGTGCAAAGACCATTTACAACACCCATAAGAAGAATTGATCTGTTTCAATTTGAAGGCAGTAGGGGCAGTCCAAAATGGATCGCCACTGAACAAAGCAGGATCCATTTTGGTCTGCCCCTAGAATGAGGGAAAGTAGACTAAGATGGTCTTATCATGTGCAAAGACCGTCTACAACACCCATAAGAAGAATTGTTCTGTTTCAATTTGAAAGCAGTAGAAGACCTAGGGGCAGACCAAAATGGATCGACACTGAACAAAACAGGATTCATGTAGCCAACCCCATATAGATGAGATAGTGTTTATATATAAAAATAGCGAAAAGAGGAGTATCTCATCTAGTGCACTTCTTACCTGTGAAAGTTTAATAAAACTTCAATTTATCGTTTTAAAATCTCGGAAGCTCAGGCCTTATAATTAGTATAATTCTCCCCCTTTCTTTTCTTCATGTTGGTTCGGCTGATATGTTGTTATTCTCTTGYYTGKGCTRGGTAYTAGAGTCTCTAGTTAATGGGCCTTAGTAACTGGGCCTAATTGTATCTTGTGTTTTATTAGACTGGGTGTTCCATCACTAATCAGGGGCATCCTGGTCCTTTCATGTAAATTATGTATTGCTCTTATATTAGTGAACAGTGCCCATTCGAACACATCAGACTCTCCTCTCTTCTTTTTCCTCTTCTTCTTCTCAGCTCTCTCAACAGGTTCAGTTCGGCAAACATGGCATCAAAGCTCTAGGTCTGGTCGTAGAACACCTCTCTCGCCTGGTTACAGCAGCTGTCTTGCACTTCTCTCTCTATCTTGGTACTGCAAAGAAACCCTAGGTCTGGTCGTAAAACACAACAGAACCTATACCTAGGGTTTCCCTTGGTTGTAGGGCCCAAGGGGAGTTAGTCCCAGTAGCTGATGCCCTAAGAGATACATAGAGCAAGGTGTAGCCATTCGGCTAAGTGAGATCTGTGTAAAACAGATCTAGAAGAGAGCACTGATTTCAGCAGTTCTAGAGCAGTTCGTAGGTGAAGGTTAACCTGCGATAGCAGTGATTGGTGTGTGGTAGAAGCCACAACAGCTAGGTCAGGGTTGAGGCAACATTGGCCAAACACAACAGAGTTTATGTTTTTGGCTCGGCACTTCAACTGTAAGTGGCAGCTTGCGACAGCAGTGAGTGGAGCAGTACAGCAGAGTGGGAAGGGTATTACAGCCCTAAAACAGACCCTCAGGTCTGAGATTACAGTGCTGCAAGGTCCGGAAGTCTGAAGAGGTTTCACATAACCTGTGTGACAGTTTTGGTACTCTTGCAAGTCGGAGAAGATGTCTTCCATATCTGGGGAAGTTTCTTCTAGAGATATTAGGACTAGTGGGAGGTCTCCTAATCTGGAGAACCCTAATTTGCACAGCCTACAGATAACAAGTGTGTTACTTGATGAATACAACTTTAGGGAATGGTCTGTTTCGGCCATGCTCTTTATCACATCCCGGGATCTTACAGGCTATTTGGACGGGCAGAAGAAAGAACCCGAAATAGGGAGTGCTGAATATGCTGTTTGGAGAAGAGAGAATGCTACAGTCATGTCCTGGCTGCTTGCTTCAATGACTCCTAGGGTAGCTAGGACGGTTCAAAACTTCTCCACAGCTGCCAAGATATGGGAGAAGGTGTCTAAGACCTATGGGCAGAAAATGAATAATGCCCGAATCTATAGACTGAATCAAGATATTGCTGCCCTGAAGCAGGGAGACATGAGTGTTGCTACATACTTTGCTACATTAGAAGGATTGTGGGAAGAGCTGGATCACCACCTCATCATAGACTGGGAGAATGCCAGAGATAAGGAGAAACACRACAAACAAGTTGAAGAGGGTAGAGCATTCAAATTTTTGGCTGGTCTAGATCCGGTATATGAGAACATAAGGTCCCAAATTCTGGGAAGAGATGAGATGCCTCATCTACATCATGTCTACTATCTTGTGAGAACTGAAGAGGTGAGAAGAAAGGAGATGCAAGTTGATGCCCAGACTAAACCAATAGAGCAGTCTATAGAACATTCAACTCTCATTTCTACAAGCCAAAGGGGGAACAAGTTCTCTRACAAGAGACACCTGAGGTGTACTCACTGTGGGGGAGAAAAACATGTGAAAGAGAACTGTTGGGTTCTCTACCCTCATTTGAAACCAGCAGCATTGGGGAAAGAGAAGAAGCACTAGAAGGGCCATTCGGCAAGTGGGAACCTAGCAGCAAGTCACAGTGATGGAGGTTCTAAACACTCATCCAAAGTTGCTTCCTCTTCTTCGGGACAGACTACCAGTTCCCAAGGACATGGGCCTATGTATTTCACAACTGATGAGGTAGAGGTACTTAGCCAGGCACTGCCCCGCCTAAGGACAAATTCTCTTGCTTCCACCTCCCTTGCCAGATCAGGTATTGTTTCAGCCTTTAGTGCAACTAGTTCCATTGATCCAACCTCCTGGATTATTGATTCCGGTGCAACTGACCACATGACTCACATGTCTTCCTTATTCTCTTCCTATCATTTAATGTCTGGTCAAGACAAGATGAAGGTTGTTGATGGTTCCCTCTCTACCATTTTTGGGAAAGGAGTGGTTGACCTAAGCAAAGACATCTCCCTCAAAACTTACCAAGACCTTGAATTGTAGCATACCTTTTTTCCTACCCATTGTGTTTTTCAGGACAGTTTGACGAAGAGAACGATTGGGAGCGGTCATGAGCGWGGAGGYCTCTACTACCTGGATGCARACATCAGTTCAGCCCTTCAAACATCTACTACTAGTGGTCAATCTAATGTGGAGTCATTAT